ATGTTTGCAGCTACTTATAGATTTCACCTGCATTACTATGTCCTCAATCAATAAATGAGTTATTTTAACTCGTGTAGGTTCAACCCGACAAATGGTGGTTCAATTTATGCTGCTTCATCAGATGGGACAATAAGTTGCACTGACCTGGAGACTGGGATTTCCTTGTCACTAATGAACCTTAATCCAAATGGGTGGGAGGTGATTTTCCAAATAGAAGCTGTTGTGTGAATTGATTATCTGTTATTTCTGATATTGTGCTTGGACGAGCCTATGGCACATTTTTGAACTACCGTGTCCCCTTTTAGGGAGTGTAGATACTTTTCAGCTGCAAGGACACAAATCATTTCGGGAAATTTCAGCCTTGCTGATACACAGAAAACCTATCACATTTACAAATTTGATTCATTTTTACTCTCAAGTTCGGTCTTCCTCTTTGGTTTCCAGTTAGGCTTGTTGTTTTAATCAGCTTGAGTTTTCGCCTGTAGTTTAGCTGAATACTTTGAATCGATGAATACATGAGATTAAGTGTGTTCCCTGACTGTGGGTCAAGGTAAACGACATCTTGATGCACCGATTGTGTTTCTAAAAATGCTATTGATGAGATTCTAGGTTCTCGCTAATTACATCACTGAAACTATTGCTTTCAGTTGGGGATAGCAAAGAAAAGGAGACTGAAATACATGACGCCAACAAGTAGGTTATCATGAAGTGGTTATATGGTTCTATTGGAGTTTAAGTTACAGATGATTTTTCTGTAGGGACCAAGCCGTTGGAGGATGCTTTATGGGTTGGATGTTAACTCAGATAAAAGTGTTGTCCTTGTTGCTGATAATTTTGGATATCTGTACATGTAAGTGTCTTTTGAACTTATTGGGGAGGTCAATGTTTATGCAAGTATTGAAGATTAGAATTTCTTTCCCTAAAAAGTTTTGTAGATATGAAATTCTCTTTTCGTATCTCTCAAAATGACTGGTTTGATGATACTTTGTCATGTGCATTAGGTTAATGTATGTCTCATATATCCGTAACAGAAAATTTTAACCTGATTTTCTGGGCAGCTGGAAATTATTAAGGATTGTTTACTTGTCCTTTGAAAAGATATTTTCATTAGGTTAGCTGTCACAGTAATTCAAGCAGACTTTTGTGCAGTCTGATTATCATTTGGGCTGTAGCCTTAAAAATTATGTTAATCCTTTTTCTTTTACTATATTTGAGGCGGAAAGGATTTTTTTTGGGGGGGTGGGG